CGCCCAGTGCCCATGTGGTTTTCGAGTTACCTCACGGACGTGGGCGATCTCTTGGCAATAGCTCCTGGGTTGAATGTACGCGAAACTGGGACATTCTACGCAGCATTGGGGGAGGGGAAGTGCAACTATTGTCGCCAATCCAACTTTACTAGTTTTGCTACTTCTCAATTGCCGGTACAACTGAAGGCCGAGATTGACAAGGTTTGTTCAATACTCTGACTTCTTCCAGCGAAGAATCTGAATCTCTTGCCAACCAGATTGAGTTGAAGTTCTGAAACCTCTGTTTGGCCGTCATGTAACTTTGCACATTTTTGAATTTTGTACTATGTTCCTTCCCAAACGTCAATTTTGGATCATCATCGGCCGATAGCGAAAGGATGGCGGTGAGCCCGGTTGTCCCTCTTCAACATGAACCGACTGTTATATGTGTCCGGCGAGTTGAACTCGAGGTTATGAATTACGGAACGCTTCATACATAGGTGTGGTAGGTAACGTGTCTGCACATTTGGCGGTGTAGGTATAATAGATACCCGAGTCGGCACACTATTCCTCATACAACGACTTTGATGCGCTCTTGATCTCTCAACAACACTCTGGATCCGATAAGGACACCGGGAGTAGTACAGAAAAGAAATGTTAGGCTGTACAATCTGTCCATGTTTGATCTCGCTGGTATGACGGTATTTATTGTCAAAAATTATGTACTTACTTTTGTGCACGTCTCACGTTGTACATCTACATCCAGAATTGAACATCTACTTCCATTTGAGGTACAGGCACAGTCAAAATGCATAAAGAGAAGGTACTTTAGGCACTTTTGGTTCATCTACATACTTGATAGTAGGAGTGCACATTATTGAACACTCAACTGGTGAGTATTTCACTCAGCAGCTCAATTAAATCGTACATTCAGATTGATCGTCAATCCCAAATGTCAATCATCCCAAGCCCACATCAATCCCAATCCCAAGGTCAAACCAAGGTCCAAATCCCAACCCAACTGGATTCCCACGGGTTTCAGCCTCACTTAAATAGCACCATTTTCTGAATGGTTTAGAGCATCCCCCTCCCCCATCTCTGTAATTATAGATACAATATTCTAATTGGCTTTGTTAGCAACTAGACTATTTGTGATATGAACAATTTTTGGACTGAGACTACTTGCTTCAGTGGCACTTCGGGGGAAATCAGTATAGACAGTGTTCATATACTAGATGCCTAATCAATTTTGCAGCAATTAGGGTCGTTCACGGTAGCCTTTTTTCCGCTCCTTTTCACTCCCTTTTTCACTTCCTTTTTGTTTCCCTTTTTCATGCCCCAAGTTTTGTTCTCTTGATTGTTCTCTTTCAAGTTTTCATGCTCTCAGATTTATGTTATGAAGTCAACTAATAAATGTTTCCACAGGTCACATCGGATCGATATCAGATGTCCGGAGCGACGGGCTGTCCACGTGTGTTGGACGTTGAAATAGATTGAATTAACTACAAGAATTATGCACAAGAGATAGAAGGTCTAGTAACTACTCTGAAATGAAAAAGGGATCGAAAAAGGACGGAAAAAAGGAGTTGCGGTTGGGGGGTTTCACAGTAGCCCTTGTTCCTTCCCTTTTTGGCCTCCTTTTTCACTCGATTTCCGTTGTTTCTGGGCTTATGGTTGATCCCCCCCCCCCCTTTTCAAACCTTTTTACATGCAAAAGTTGAAAAGGGAAAAAAAACCTAGTGGAAAACAAAGCATACCCGAGAAGTGAGAAAAAAGGAAGGGAAAAGGGAGCGGAAAAGGGGCTACTGTGAACGACCCGATTGGTTCACTTGAGAATTCATTGTTGCCTAATAGAATCGTTAACAGTCTGCCACAGCATATCTTAATGCAAGCACTTTGCTGTAGGCCCGGTACTTGAAATTTTAAGTGGGCCAGATCAGATCATGGATATTTTTGTTATGTAGTCATCCAAATCGGATATCCTGCCGCTGAAGAGCATTTATTAGATTTCTAAAGAGACAGAAATATAGCTAAGGGATGTCATAACAATTGTTCCGAGTCATACTAGTCTGCCTACCAATACGGTGCCTAGACTAAGATATGCTGATCATAGGCAGACTGGTAAGAAGTCTAGCTGCATAACTATAACTGCTTTGCCTTCCTCTATTGACTACGAAGGATTTTGAAGTGAGCTGATTTAACAGAGACCCATCAAAACCTAAGCTGAAGTATGAGTTGGGAAAAATTTCCAGGGATCCCTTACTAAGGGTAAGAGACTACACATTCTGAAATGAAAGCCCAAAACACATCTCTCACAGAAAATAGAAGTGCATCACAGTCATCCCCATGAAGGGAAGTCAGAGAATTTAAGCAGAACCAATTCAATTGAAGGCTTACTCTGAACCCGACTCTCTAGCCTTACCATTTATTGGGCAATTCCCCAAGTGAAAAAAGGATGCCTGCATCCGGGGGAGGGCAGTGCTGTTAAACATTAAAATTCCAACAGGCTGGCTACTCCAGACGACTGAGCCCCCTGGCTACATTATGTAAGATACCTGTTGCAGAAATATACAAGCCAGTAAAAAAAATCATCATTGATTCTAAGTCATTTCAGAGTTTAATTTTGCCCCTGTTCTGAAGCCGGTGATGAAAAGGGGGATCGTATGGGGAGTAGTACTGGGTACAGAATATATAGTAAGTGAAATAGGAGCTAAAATGGAAGATACCGAGTCTAAGACAAAAAGGCTGTACTAAATAAATTGGATTGGGCAGATACGAAGCAGCGGGACATGAAGCAAGTCTCCGGAATCAAGTCAGAATTAAATGTGGCTTGGATCGGCTTGAATCGTATCTGGATTTGAGAGTCAATTCTCACCATGTTGAGGGAGATTCTCTTTTAATTCTTGTCTCTGAATCAGAATTTTCAGAATTGACAGAATAATGGCTATCTCTCAGATAATAGAATTCTGTGCTGGACTGACACACTTCTCAACATTCAGATAGAATCAAGCAGGAATCAGCCATGGTGACCCTTTGACTTGCCCTAACTAGAGCAGGCTTATGTCAGGTTCAAAAACAGTGGACTTGGTTGGTAAATATCCCAAGCCTGGCCCTAACTTGGGCTTTGGTCCTGGTCAGGTCAGGCTGGGTTGGATTTTTTCTCACTTGATTTAAGTCTTTTGATCTGCTCATAAATGTCCTATTTTCATACACTCTAAGTAACATCGGGGACATTTTGACCTTCAGATTTCAGATTTCAAACTTGTACCTCCAGATTTAGAACTTCATTGATGAGAAATATTCCGGACCACCTAGAGAAAAAGAACGAAAGACGGTCAATTTTGGGCTGGCAGAAACTTCTCTCCTCTAGATCTCGTACCCTCAAATGCAAAATTTGAAATGACAATTTTATAAAAGAGGTCCTGGGTCCAAGCAGCATGGGATACCCACTGTCCCGTCAACGGGCATGGGCCTTCCATTTGCGATGCCACGACCGGTGTGGGCTGCCACTGTGGCTGCCATTTTTTTCTATTGGGATCCAGGAGTCAACTTGGGATTCTGAGAGTTCAGTTAGTTCAGGAGTCCTCTGGTATGCCCTCCATCAGCTTTCATTTGATAATTCACGTGAAGGAGGTCAGTTTATAGGCGACGCGCCAAATCAGATTATATCATGTGGTCATTCTATCCCATTCAATAAATTCAGTGGACCATTCGCAGGGACCATGGTCAGTCTCATGGAATTTTAGTGCCAGAGCATCATTTTATTTTTATTTTTATTTGCATTCTCATTCATTTGTTGGCTCAAAATCCACATGAAAGAATTGGTTTCATCAAGCGAACACCTAGACAGGACAGGACGTCCCCCTTCACAGTCAAGATGGCGATGGTGGGCATCCCCACCCAAGTTTGGGTCATGAGCTTAGAAAAAGATTGAGGCCGTGAGCCTCACTCACGCTGGCCTCGGGTCCGGCTGAGGCTCAAGCCCAACTGGGGAAAAAAACACCCAACAGGTGTGGCCAGGAGGATGACAGCAGTTGGTTTGGGGCTGGAATTGACAGGCTTGGTATTGATGGCTGTTCCCAAGTGGGATTGATAGCAATTCTCACAGTTCACTTGGTTTTGATTGGACAACCCAACTGGTCAGGTTGGGATTGATAGAACCCCATTAGGGTGCTGTGTTGTTGTGTTATACAAACCAGGCACCATGAATTGTACAATTTCATCTTCAGGAAGTTGAAACATCTGTATGGACTGTACACTATTGTAAGTAGTGTGTAGAAAACTGATTGCTTTCTCAACTAAGGCTGTGAGTTCAAAGTGCAATGTACAATGTACAATAAAGTTGTTAAATTTTCAGATCAAATGTACAATAACCCACTCCCTGTACCCAAAATAACTGCACATGTACTTGTTGGAATGTAGAAGTAGAATGTTGAATGTTCCACTCTCATTGTACATAATTTTTGACGAAAAAAGCTTTTATACGCTGGCGGGCCTTCTTTTTGTTTGCTGCCACCTACAGTAGAATTGCGACATATGAACGCCTGAATTAGCGCACCTACAAGTCTTCGTAGAGTAATCTGGAAACTCGCTCCTCACATCTGGAAGATCGACTCGTAGCAATTGCACGGGAGGGATGGCGGTTCGAACCCGCCCCAAGACATACATTCTCGAAGTGCAGATCCATTTTTCCCCTTGCAAGCACACATAGTCAACAGTCGACGTATGGCTCTACTGAATGCTCCATAGTTGTGGTAGGGAGTCGTGCTCTTTAGTGGTGTAGGTACAATAGATATTAGATACCAGAGTTGGAACACTATCCCTCATACAACGACTTTGAACCACTGTTGATCTAAGCAACACTCTGGATCCGAGTACAGTAGCACAAAAAAAATTAGACTGTGGAAAATGTGTCCATGTTTGACTTCGCTCAATGGCGGGCCTTCTTTTTGTTTGCCGCCACGGAAATTGGTTACAGCAGTAGAATAGCGACATACGAAGGCGCGAATTGGCACCTGTAAGTCTTCGTGGAGTAATTTGGAAACTCATTCCCTATATCTGTGGGCTCGATGGGTGAAAGTTGAACGGGAGAGTTGGTGGTTCGAGCCCGCCCGAAGGCATATCAGAACTGGTTCCATTTTTCTTCTCGTGGGCACATACACGTTGAGGGTGCCCACCTTTTTCCCAATTGAATTCAGGATGAAGGCGGGACCGTTCGCGTTCGCTGTGGAATGAAAACGCGTACACCACGAATATTATTCCTGGTTGACTTCCATTTTTAAAACCGCACAGGATGAATGTGCGACGAGAATTTGGCCTGCGGCGCATCAAAAGAAACGGACCGGGAGAAATTCTCATGCCTGCTCTGACGTACGGTGCCCGCGAGGCAAGAACACAGTCTGCTGTGTGCGCAGGAAAGAAATTGGAACCATAAAATTCCGTGCGATAACGCGCTCAAGCAACGCGAACAGCTTGGAGATATAACGCGCCCCGGAATCAATAAAGAGATGGATAATCGAAAGAACAGGTTCGGGTGATTAGAGGGGAATCGCATAAAGAAGACAGCGTGGAGATTCCGTACTGGTTAGTTTCAAGGGCCGGAGCGTGTTCCTGCTGCTCTGGAATAGCCGAATATGCATGGTGCGTCTTTGTGGAGTAAAAGGAAATCCAACTCGGCGTGTTCAGTCTTTCGTATTAAAGTGCACAGGAGAGTTGGTGGTTCAAGTCAATCCGAAGACGTATCGCGGAGGTTTCCCCCCTTTTTGCCTTGTTACACCCGACCGACCAAATGGAAGAATCAATGTGGAGTCTGGAGTCTGCGTTGAAAGAGCCGATTGATCATGACATGCGAGAACATAAGAGTAGTCAGTGGATGGGAAGGAACGGTTCCGAGTTGCGGGCTAGCAAAAAAGCAGGAGTAGCAAAAATAAAATAGCAGGTCAGCGATAAACACACCGGATCCCGTGGAGCTCACGGGAGTGAGCAAAGCTTGAGGAACCAGAAATTTTGTGAAATAGCGTCATTCCGAGTGAGTTAGGACAGCGATGGGAGGGGGCGGTGCGAAGCGCCGAGTGACGCAGAGGGTCACATACCAGCAAACCCGAAGCCGGCAAGAAGAGTGCGAACGCGACGGAGCGCAAGACCCGAAGAAGGCGAATGGCACGCGCACATTGTGCGGCGCAATCAGGAACGTAAATGCAGATAGACTAGAATAATCCGGAACCAAGATACCAAAAGGTACCCGCGAATTGCGAGCCGTGTTTGAACCAGGAACAGGATAAATTGAAGCTGAAGTCCTCTTGAAATGCATGCGAGATGTAGAGGCGAAGAACCAGGAGTGAAAGAACGGGGGGCGGACACATCCCCAACGCATCCGGATCGCGGCAGTAAGGTAAACACGCCTTCCGAGTTTGTAGTTAGGTTCGAATGGGAAGTCGTATCCAGCGCGCAGAATACGTCCGCGGCGGCAACACTGGGTAGCTGGGCATCCGACGGACTAAGTCGGTGGCATCATCCGAGTAACCGAGCTGTCCTTGGAGTTGTCCGATAGTCTGGGTGAAGTCCGCCGGCGATTGGCCCAAGGAGTTGTCTAAGACCAGCGTAGTTCATTTCGTGGAATGCTGGGTGAGATGTTCAGAGGCCGCACGAGTGGCGAAAGATCTGGTCGCAGGAGGAGAAGAAAGTGATGCGGCGATGCGGGCCGGTCTTGCGGCGATCAAAGAGGCACGTGACTGAGAGTTTGAGACGCCGAGATCAATTCCCTGCTTGCTTCTAACGGCGATGTGCGTCTCCATTCCGAATTTCATCGTTCTTTTGTTGGGCGCAAACGACTCTTTACCCGCATTTATTCCGCGCCCCAAGTGTTTGACTCGTCTTTCCCGCGGAAATCCATTTGTCGCTCATTCTCCAGAAATAGTCCAGAAATCCCATGCTATAATTTCTTCGTCAACTCATTTTGTGTGGTGCGCCCGCCAAGCTGGCGTAGAAACAGCCTTTTTACCCTCTCGTGCTCCGAAATTTGCTGGTCTTCCCATGTCTCTCAGACTGCTTTGCTTATTCGAAATACCCTTGCCAATGGTACTTAGCGCTCAGCGACCGCAAGATCTGAGATTCCGCACACTACTCAGATCTCTGCTTGTCAGATATACACCCTGGGTCCGTGCCAATTATTTCCTCAAAGTTCCTGGAACACCCCCGCGGCACAGGAGTCAATCCACTGCAGTTTCGCATCGGATTTCGTTTGTATTCGGATTCTCGACTCACTACGCCATTTTGGCGGCTCCGGTCTATACTTTCGCGTTTCATCTCGTGTTCTCATTATACACTATACGGAGCTTCTCAATTAAGATCATCTCTCGCCATTTCCTCGTTTGAATACCGGTCCGCATCATCTCTTTGCGACCCGGAATACGAATGCTGACGGAAAAAAAAAATTACTTTGATGGATGTTTCCGAACTACGTACTAGGGTGGATCCCCGCCAAAAAGTCACTAGACAAATTATGTCTTTGAGTGGGTTCGAACCACCGACTCTCCCGGAATTATGCCATACGTTTGGAAGGATCCACTGCTCGGGAGTGAGTTTCATTACTCCACAAAGACTTATTGGCTCTCTTTTGAGCCAGAATAGGTGCCGCACAAAAGGTCCATCGTACTTTGTGCTCGTTTCTCGTAGGGACAGACCGAGGATGAATATGCAGAGTAGCTATCAGACGTACACGCAGCGCCGTTTCACCATCCCGCTCACTGCGCCCTCTCCTCCGGATTCCTCGCTCTCAACCATCTGCTCAACGGAGTCAGGCATTGGAATATTATAGTATTGAAACACATCCTTCCTCCCGCAGTCGACGAAGAAGGCATCAAAAGCTTTCCTTTCAGTATGATTATATCTACTACGGGAAGTTAGTGAATAGCTCCCGTGGGATACCTACGGTACCTTGACTCCCGCGCGTTGCAATGGACAGCTGGTGGTTCGAATCCACCCAAAGGCGTTTTTTACTTGGGCTCGATGTGGTTCTCCCTAATAATTTTGAATTTGCTAGATGGGAGAGCCGGTGGTTCATTTGAAGATATTGGACAGCGATCCACACCTCTTTTCTTCCTCAGGCTTCCAGATTTGCTCACCTACACAGCGGGCTGCGGCACACATGAGAACACAAGTCTTCGAGGAGTAAAACGGGAACTCGTTCTCATACCATATGCGTTCCACCGGTTTTAAATATGCGAGAAAGTCGGTGGTTCGAATCCACCCGAAGACGTTGGTCCACATTATGATTGCTTCTTTTTGCAACTGTCTTGCTTCTCGAGCGTAGCTTTTCCTCGATCTACGTGTATTCCAACTTTCCGAAATCCACGCACCGTATGCGAGCGACAGTGATAAAAAGGGACACATCGATTTTCCCGAGTCTTCGGCTGGATTTGAACAAGCGTCCCTCCCCAGTGAATCGAATACCAGTAGTACATCTTGACAAGGGAGTTGCCTCCCCAACGAAGAACTGCCTAGAGTAGTTTACACATGGGCCAACGTGATACTATGATACTGTTCGTGTCCGTGAATTACTCTATCGACAATCCTCCCACTATCATTGCATCATTCTCCTGCCAAGGCGTAGTCAGGGCCTCTCATTTTTTTTTTATGTCTGGCCTGCAAGGTTGCTTTCGCCCCTGTTCCCAATTTCGGTTAGACCAGTCTCTGTGTCCGGGAATGGGTGCTCATCCATAATATACCCCGCGGAGCGGAGATACCCAGCAAGCTGCGGAATTGATCTCGTAAGCCCCCGGGAGTCAGTGGAGGGCATCATGTCTGTTTCCTCGTCATTGGGGTGTCCATCCTCGTCATTAGACTCATCATCGCCCACATCTACCAAGCGCTCCCGGATGAATGCGACGATGCCGGCGGAATTAGACCCAGGACGACTGCCTTCGGTATGAAGGGCAGGGAAGTCGACGTGCCATTGACGAATTAATGCACGGCGCTGGAATATATGAATGGCCCCAAGAGCCGAAAGCGGCCTTCGCCCTGGGCCGCCTTTAGCACATCTTAATTATAGCACAAAAGAACTTGCCCAGGGCAAAATACACGACATTTGCCCCGAAAAAGAGAGAGAATGCACCGTTGACGAAGGTCCAAAAACCTCCGAATGTGGAGATTCCGGACAAAGGAGAAACCCCAAGGGTATCTGCTAGGACTTCCGTAGGTTGGTAGAAACGGCTAAATAAGTTCAGATTGGCGATACGGGAGCCCGAAGGCTCGCTAGATGGATATGGTTGCAATCCATTTACTATGCCGGTCAATAGCACCTTCTGCCACGACTAAGGACGTCAGGTCGGCTGGGATGCGCAGTGTATCGTAGAAATCACACATACGGTAGAGATTCCCAAAGAATTCGGCCCCGTTCTTCTCTGCCTCCAGGTGACGAGCCCGAAAAGATTTGATCCGGCGAGCAGAGGCGTAGCCTCAACGAAATCATCATCGGGGGAAAAGTCACCTTGTCCCAAGCAGACATAAACTCCAGGCGTTGAAGATGGAATGGTTATGGAAATCTGGACATCTATAATGGCACTCCAATCGTGAGGGCCTAAGAAGTAGGGTGATATAAAAACTCTACGTAGTTGAATCCACATACATTGGGCGAAGGCGTAACGGTAGGGGGATGGGGCGCCAAAGGTCAGAGGGCAGTCAACGATACTGTTGGCTGTAACTTTCAACCCATCTTCCGAGGTGAGTGGCTCTTCAAAGAATAATTTCTGTGAATATATTAGTGTCACGACTAGACATCTATGTTCAACGGGATACTACACACCAAGAAAACGGTGGCATTTCCGGGGGTAGAGACGTAGGGGTTCTGAGATGCCCACACAATCGATGTGGTGTAAATTTCCGATGAAAGTGGATTCACAATGATGGAATATAGGGCGAACGCGGGGACTCCAAGCGTTATAAAGCTCAAAATAATGGCCCTTGTTACGATGATAACAAAGGATTCCCCCCTAAATAGAATGGTAAGAGACCGCAAATAACTTGAAGACAGGCCATCACTACCTGAAGAGGGGACGGGTAATGGATCTATTGAGCAAGATTGCTAGTGGTGTATAAGGGGGCCGCGCACGCGTGCAAAATCCCAAGAATTCAAACCGCTGGGCGCAAATTGGGGGCTTCGATTTGAGAATCGTTGCGATGCGAAATATTCCGGACATCGTTAATGCCAACAACAGCGGGATGGCGAGGAATAGGAATAATATCGACTCATGAAATCCCAAGTAAGTACTATCGAATATCGTCACTAGAATGGAGGTCGAGTTTAATTGAGACTGATAGCGATTTCTTACCACCGTTTTCAATCCCCACGATTATCAAGTCGATCGCCGCAAGGCCTTTCATCCGCCATCGGAATAAACTACCTTCCTTTCGAATCCATGTCAGAGGCATTATTTGTGTAATGTCGCTTACAGGAGGCTATGGTGAATTGGTATCACGATGCAAAATATGCCGTTGAGGACAACCAGGGAATCTACCAAGGCCAACGAAGAGCTACCCCCAATGTTCCTGGGGATCAAGGGGATATCACGGATGACCCGGGGAGCCAGTAGCACGAGGGTGACAGCAGAGGCAATAGTCCCGAGCAGGAGCAAGCGCAAATTGTACACCCTCGCGGTAGAGCTAAACAGGATATTTGACAGTTTTCCCATTGAGATGCCTTTGACTCGGAATATGGCGGAGATATTCAAGCGAGGATGTCGATTTTGTGGAGGTAAGGAAGAACAGCGAGCTGACCAAGCATCAGCTGCTGGCGCGGATAGAATGCGGCGCAAAGGTCTGATCGGGCCACCAGGCTGGGCTAGCCCACTCCAGGAAATTCGGCCTTTGTAAAGTCCGGCAATTAAGTCCGGTCATCAACTCCGGCGGCATTCTCCGGCCAAGGATCGGAGTTTGAATGTGCCGCCTACAGCGGCCAACTCAACGCACCTCTCCGAGTTCTCTCCATATGCCCATCTTTGATTCAACATATTCTATGTATACATCCATTCTCTGTTGCCTACTTGGCCGTGCGCCAGATTCAACGCATTTAACCATTACTATAAATTTGTTGGTCTGAATTTTTTATCGCCCTTTATCGCCCTGCGTTGGGTAATCGACTCTGAACTGAAAAGTGATGCATCCTCGAATCATGTCTCCGGGTGGATTTGAACCACCGACACCGTGACTCCTCAATCATACCGCAAGATTGCGTAGTATCCATAAGTAGTGAGCTGCATTGCTCAACGAAGACTTGCTCGAGCTTGCTCCCTCAACGTATATCTTCAAATAAGTTCAGTTTGAAAGAAATGAGGTCGAAAAATACATCTCTTTTCCAGTGCCAGGTCTCCGGGTGGATTCGAACCACCGATACTCTCCGGTGGAGATATTGTGCACAACGCGTCTGGGGATCAGTCATTCATTCTACTCCACGAAGACTGGACGTCTCAGTGTATTCCTTCAATAAGTTCGCGAGACATGAAAGCGTTAGGCAGAAGCCCCCCGAAAAAATGTGCATGCTTGCCATGAGCTAGGTCTTCGGGTGGATTCGAAGACCCTTCTGGATGAGTAAGTTCTAACGTAGTCTCTTATAAACAGACGCTACAACAGAAATTACTCATACCTCTCGTACCTCGTATTGTAGTTCTAACCTGGATATATGCGGACCCTTCTTTCAGTATCGTATCATAACCTGATTTGATTCGACGGAAAACAGATACGCTGAACCTCCGAAGCCGCTGGACGCGGACTTTACATATACAGTAGTTAACCGGGAAGCGAAACGCTACGTAGAAGCGAAATGCCGGCTTTTTCCCGGATCCCAGGCATCTGAAGGACCCCAGTTTTTGTGAGAGGATAGTTAGCCATGAGAAATGACTCATAGCAAAAGGAATTGTGCAAAAAGGTTCTGTAGAACCTGTGGCAGATCACTTTGTGTTCGCTATTTTTTTGGCCTATTTTGTTGGATATAATCCATCGGAGGCACGGTATTTCGGGCGTGCAATTCCTCCTGCACATGTGTGAACTGGGGGTTTTCAAGGTCGTATAACACGAATATAAACACCCCTGGGGCTGGATTGCAACGAACGGCGGCCCACAGGTTATTTTAAGGCTGTTTCGTTCAATCACGTTCGGCCTTCCCTCCCTCAAGTCATGCACCCTTGAGTCTCGCCGCCTTTCGATCCGAATCCACCAAGACGCGCCGGTGTCGCCCATTTTCTCATTCACTTACGTACCTCGTCTTGCACTCTATGCCTCCGACTTGGTTTCTGGCGTATGGCACATATACTGTGCAAAAATTATTAGAGGACATCTTGTGAGTGGAAACAGGGTTTTTGGATCAGTGATGGCCCTAAGGCCTAAGGCCTTAAATTGAACCTCAGGCCTTAGGCCTTAATTAAGGCCTGAGGGTAAGGCTTAGCTTGAGGTCCAGGACCAGTTGCTCACCTACGGCCTTAGACATCACGTGTCACTTACGTAATTTAATCAAATATTTTCGCCGCTGTTCAGTGTTCTTCTCATCATGGGCAACGACAAGGGACCGCTCAGGGCTTACTTCCACCCACGTCCAGAATCTCGCGTCATGCCCGGAACCAGGAGGAGATGTATATGCGGGTCATGGCGGAGCTCGATGAAGCGGACGACTCACCTGACGATGGAGCTGACGACGACGAGGTAGGAGGAGGAGGAGGAGGTATATTATACTGACACGGTCCCACAATTGGAACAGCCAGTTTACTACGTAGGACATGGTAACTTATATAGGCTAAAAGTCACCCATCCTATACATAGATGATTAGAATTTAGATGCATATGGCTGGTACGGGGAAACGGTAATTCGTAGATACAGTTGGGAATAAATTTCCTTTTTTGGTACCTCAGGCCTGAGGGCATCTAAGGCCTACGGCCTTAACCTAAGCCCTATGGCCTTAGAAATTCTGGGGGTCGATATTTAAGGCCTTAGGGCCATCACTGTTTTGGATACATCTATGAAATGGAAACAGGGTTTTTGGTTGCATCTCTCAAAATGGGGACATCTTTCAGCTCAGCTGCATTCTCTGTAAGAGGATCACAATTTTCCCAGTGCCAGTGGGCTGCTTGGAGTGCCTTTGAATTTTTTGACTCCAAGTCATCACTCGGGCAGCGGAACTAATCGGATTGATCGGAACAGTGATCCGAGGGGCGGCTGGGATCCGAAGAAGGATATTTTAACCCTCCGAGAGCAGAGAACCATAAATACGA